CCAGGACGGCGCTGGGTTCCCACCAGGTTCTTCCTGGGGCTCCCCCAGCCTCCCCGTCCCTCGGAGGGGACTCCTGTCCGTCACACCCTCTCGCCCACCTCTCCACCGCCTGGTGGGGCATTAATGCTTCTTTTTGCAGACACACTGTATTTTTTTAGAGCAGTTCTAGGCTCCCAGCACATTTGGGAGGAAGGGCCAGAGATTCCCTGAGAACCCCCTCTCCCCCACGCGCGGCCTCCCCGTGGCGATGCCCAGCACAGGGCCAGGCCGTTAGGGTTGCCCCGGGCCACTCCTGGGTGCACCCTGTGGGTCCCAGCACACACTTGGGGACGTGAGTCCGCCGCTGCGCACCTTGGACTGGCGTCCACACCAGAACCTGAGTCTGTTTCCCGCCGTGTGTCCCATGCGGTCAGGGGCTCCTCCATCCCGCCTGCAAGCCGGGGCGCTTGGAGCTCAGGACATCTGTGCCGATGGGACGAGCATCGGACCACCGGGGCGACTGAAACCGGGCAGACTGGGGGTCCGCACGCTGATTTCTGGGGAAGCCTGCTAGACGCCGTCCCGCCGGCTTTCTCTCCAGCCACCCCGTGTCTCCTGGGGGTCCCTTCCCACAGTTAGGGGGCTCCATCCCTGTGCATGGGGTGCTCCGATTCTGGGGTCAGCCGTGGGCTTCTAGACTGCGGGTGACCTAACGCTGTTGCCACCACCGGGGTCTTGGGCCGTTTCCTGAGTGCCTGCTGTCGTCCGTGTGTGCCATCGTGCTTGCTGTCCAGAGAATCGAAGCGGCCGCGTCCTGGGCTGACATTGGGGTGACGGGCGCAGGGAGAGAACAGGGCAGGGCTGGGTTGGACGGGCCCCCACGAAACGGCGACCTGAGCCGAAGTGAAGGCAGGTGCCCGGGCTGGTGCCTCTGCCACCCTCGGGGAGCCACCAGCGTATCCACGGCGTGGCCCACGCCAGGGCCCAGAGGGCCAAGGCCGGCAGCAGGTCGGGGGATGAAGACCAGCGCCCGGGCGCCCGCTTCCCTCCCCGGGGCTGCAGTGAGGGCAGAGGTGCAGGGGAGGGGGTGTCTCCCTCCCCCCCACCCCATGCACATCAGGGGTGCACTTGGGGGATGGCCAGGCCCATGGGTGCCCAGCTAGGGAAGAGCGCAGCCAAGGGGGTGGTGCAGGCTCGGCGAGGCCAGGCTCGGGGGAGGAGCGGCGGCCTGCCTGGGCCAGGGGCTCCCCATGTGCGGCCTCGGGAGCGGCCTTGGGTCCCCAGGCAGCAGGAGCCCCTCGCGCTGGGGCCCCTGCCAGGTGCCGCTTCTCTGCAGGAGCTGCCCCCGAACCTAGACGAGCTCCTGCTGCCGGCCGAGGCTGACTTTGCTCAGGACCTGTACGTCGTCGGCGTCCAGGAGGGCTGCTCGGACAGGTAGGGCTGCGCGCCCCTCTCCCGCCACTGCCGCCACCCCGCCCCACGTCTCAGCCGCGCTGGTGCACCCGGGTCCCTGTGAACAGTGGCGCCAGTCGGGCCTTTGGGGCTGAAGCTGCTGTGGCCCGAGACCCCCGTGTGGGGCGAGACGTGGGCCGTGGCCGAGCCTGGGCTGAACCGGGATCGTTTTCTTCTCCAACGGGGACTCATAGAATTTAGAAGGAATGAGGTTCATCTTCTTGTAAATAAAGAGCTGCTCCAAGAGATAGTGGGGGCAGGGGCACAGCGCAGTGCGGTCCCGCGGGCTCCAGCCCAGGCTGTGCAAGACGTCACTCGCCTCTCTTGGGTCTGCCTGCGGCCCGGGCTGTGTTGCCAGTTTACCTGCTGGGGGGTGGGGGCAGGGCCCCTGCAGCACACGGGCCGCAGCGTGAGGCCTGGCCAGAGCGGAGGGGCCCCGACTGCACCAGGCCCTGCGGGGAAGGTGGCCTCCCTCCTGCCCCCCGGCTCTTATCAGGGGTCGGGGACCCAGCCTGTCACCGGGGATGCAGGAGGAAGCGGGCCTCGCAGGGAGGCCCTGGGCTCCCCGTCGTGCTGCGCGACCACCGTGCCCCTCCCCGCAGGCGGGAGTGGGAGACGAGGTTGCAGGAGACGCTGGGCCCCCACTACGTCATGCTGTACTCGGCGGCCCACGGGGCGCTCTACATGTCTGTGCTCATCCGCAGGGACCTCATCTGGTTCTGCTCTGGTAGGCGGCCCCGGGGGCCGGACGTGCGCGTGGGGGGCGGGCGGTGTGGCGGCGTGGGGCCTTCGGGGCTGCATCCGGCCCGGTCAACCCTGCTCCCTCTGTGCAGAGGTGGAGAGCTCCACGGTGACCACGCGCATCGTGTCGCAGATCAAAACCAAGGGGGCCCTGGGCGTCAGCTTCACCTTTTTCGGCACCTCCCTCCTCTTCGTCACGTCCCACTTCACCTGTAAGTCCCTCCCCTGGACCCCCAGAGCTCCTGGTGGCGAGGGTCACGGTGCAGACGCCGTGCGATTAGAGCTTGCTGGGGTTGCGGGGGTCTGCCCCCGACGGACCCCCAGGCGTCCAGCCCTGGGCTCCGAAACCTGCCTCTGGAGAGGGCCCCCGACGCTGTCCTTGCAGCTGGAGACGGGAAGGTGGGCGAGCGGCTGGTGGACTACAGCAAGACCGTCCAGGGCCTGGCGCTGCCCAAGAATGTGCCGGACACCAGCCCCTACCGCTCTGACGCCGGTGAGCTGCTTTACCTTCCCCCAAAGACGAGGTGGCTTCTGCCTTGTTCTCTGGAGGGTTAGTGGAGACGGGCTGTTCAGAGCTTTTGAGAATCGAGGTCAGAAAAGTCTGGAAAGTCGCTTGCTGACCGAAGCAAGGCCTGGCGCCTGCTCCCTGAGTCGTGACCCGTGACCGCGTGAACCCAGAAAGCTGTGGACGCGCCCCACCCCCCCGCCCCAGCCCTGAGCCCCAGCAGCGTCGTGGGCCACCACCTGCTTCCCAGGGAGCCCCGGCCTTGCGGTGGGAGTGAGGAGCGCGGGGGGCACTGGGCTCATGCGCTTTTCCACCCGCTAACGCACCAGCGGACGTCACCTCCCGCTTCGACGGGGTCTTCTGGTTCGGAGACTTCAACTTCCGCCTGAGCGGCGGGCGGGCGGCCGTGGAAGCCATCCTGAAGCAGGACCCGGGCGCCAGCGTGCAGGCCCTGCTGCAGCACGACCAGCTCACGCGGGAGATGAAGAGAGGTGAGGCGGGGAGAGCAGCCGCCCGGCCAGGAGGGACCCCGGGGGGGCGGGGGCGACCCTGGGCTCCAAGCCGCGGCTCTGAGGTGGGGGCTCTGCCCGTCCCAGGGTCCATCTTCAAGGGCTTCCAGGAGCCGTACATCCACTTCCTGCCGACGTACAAGTTCGACGTCGGGAAGGACTCGTATGATACCACTTCCAAGCAGAGGACCCCTTCGTACACGGTGAGCCGCCCGCAGGGCTGGGGGAGCGTGGGGGCCGGGCCTCCTGGGGGCCTTCGACACGGGGACTCGTTCAAGGGCAGCCGACGCGAGGCAAGCCGGTCCAGCCCGGCAGCCAGACGGCCCCTGGAACCCTTCCCACAGGACCGCATCATGTATAGGAGCCGCCACAGGGACGACATCTGTCCCGTCAAGTACTCCTCCTGCCCCGGGATCAGGACGTCCGACCACCGCCCCGTGTATGGCCTGTTCCGGGTCAGAGTGAGGCCGGGGAGAGACAAGTCAGTACCACCCCTCACTCCTGGGCCCTGGGGGGGTGGGCACAGGGGGTGCTGCCTGGGAGCACGGCCTGGTCTCCTGTGTCCTGATGCCCCAAGGGGAGCAGGGTTCCAGCCGCCCTGCGTGGAGATGGCTGGACTACAGCAAGACCGTCCAGGGCCTGGCGCTGCCCAAGAATGTGCCGGACACCAGCCCCTACCGCTCTGACGCCGGTGAGCTGCTTTACCTTCCCCCAAAGACGAGGTGGCTTCTGCCTTGTTCTCTGGAGGGTTAGTGGAGACGGGCTGTTCAGAGCTTTTGAGAATCGAGGTCAGAAAAGTCTGGAAAGTCGCTTGCTGACCGAAGCAAGGCCTGGCGCCTGCTCCCTGAGTCGTGACCCGTGACCGCGTGAACCCAGAAAGCTGTGGACGCGCCCCACCCCCCCGCCCCAGCCCTGAGCCCCAGCAGCGTCGTGGGCCACCACCTGCTTCCCAGGGAGCCCCGGCCTTGCGGTGGGAGTGAGGAGCGCGGGGGGCACTGGGCTCATGCGCTTTTCCACCCGCTAACGCACCAGCGGACGTCACCTCCCGCTTCGACGGGGTCTTCTGGTTCGGAGACTTCAACTTCCGCCTGAGCGGCGGGCGGGCGGCCGTGGAAGCCATCCTGAAGCAGGACCCGGGCGCCAGCGTGCAGGCCCTGCTGCAGCACGACCAGCTCACGCGGGAGATGAAGAGAGGTGAGGCGGGGAGAGCAGCCGCCCGGCCAGGAGGGACCCCGGGGGGGCGGGGGCGACCCTGGGCTCCAAGCCGCGGCTCTGAGGTGGGGGCTCTGCCCGTCCCAGGGTCCATCTTCAAGGGCTTCCAGGAGCCGTACATCCACTTCCTGCCGACGTACAAGTTCGACGTCGGGAAGGACTCGTATGATACCACTTCCAAGCAGAGGACCCCTTCGTACACGGTGAGCCGCCCGCAGGGCTGGGGGAGCGTGGGGGCCGGGCCTCCTGGGGGCCTTCGACACGGGGACTCGTTCAAGGGCAGCCGACGCGAGGCAAGCCGGTCCAGCCCGGCAGCCAGACGGCCCCTGGAACCCTTCCCACAGGACCGCATCATGTATAGGAGCCGCCACAGGGACGACATCTGTCCCGTCAAGTACTCCTCCTGCCCCGGGATCAGGACGTCCGACCACCGCCCCGTGTATGGCCTGTTCCGGGTCAGAGTGAGGCCGGGGAGAGACAAGTCAGTACCACCCCTCACTCCTGGGCCCTGGGGGGGTGGGCACAGGGGGTGCTGCCTGGGAGCACGGCCTGGTCTCCTGTGTCCTGATGCCCCAAGGGGAGCAGGGTTCCAGCCGCCCTGCGTGGAGATGGCTGGCGTAGGTTGTCTGAAGCAGGTGTCAGGCGAGCGACACGCCAGAGGGTGGGGACCTCACCCGGACCCCTGGAAGAGCCAGTGACAGCTGGGGTTGTCCTAGAGCTGCTGCGAGGCAGGCCTGGCACAGGCAGGAGGGAGCCATTCCCCTGGCTCACGGCGCTGTGCTGCGGCTGTGCTGCCAGTCGGGGCAGCCGCGGGGACCCAGGCCTCGGCCATCCCCCCCACCACCACCACCACGTGCCGCCCGCAGCAAACGCCCGAGTACAGAGGCCAGGAGGATGGTGCCCTCCTGATGGCTCTTTCCTCCCCAGCATCCCGCTAGCTGCCGGCAAGTTTGACCGAGAACTGTACCTGATAGGAATTAAGAGACGGATTTCCAGAGAGATCCAGAGACAGCAGGCGCTGAAGAGCCAGCACTCCAGCGCCATCTGTACCGTCTCTTGAGGAAATTTGCCGAAGGAGGACTGGTCACCTGCAACCCGGGAGGGTATCTGACCCAGGAACCCGGGAAGACGGAGGAGGCTGCCGTCCGGGACGCTGATGAACCGCTGCTGGGGGCTGCCCGCTCCTCTGCGAGAGCCCGACGGGAGGCCCCAGGCCCGGCGCCGCCGCTGGGACAGAACCGCACGCCCCCATGGCGCTTCCCTCTCTCAGGGCGGCTTCCCCGCACGGCGGCCACTGTCGGTGGGAAACCCCGGACTGGCCGTGAGCAGCTCGTGTGCCCTGAAGCCAGCGGCAGAGCCCGCGTGCGGGCCAGGCACCCTGACCTCCTTTATGTCTGCACGTCTGGATCTGCAGCCTCCCGGCAGCCTCTCAAACCCAAACCAGGAGCTGCCCTTCCTCGTCTGAGCGCCAGGCACGCCGCCGGGGGTCTGGTGACCCTGGGCCTCTGTTCCCACGGCACGCGCTAGGACCGAGCTGAGGCTGGAATGAGGACGGCCGGCCGGCGGTTCAGGCCCAGGAGACCACCTGCTTCTCCTCTCCCGGTCCATCTGGGTCCATTTGCTTAGGTAACGTTAGCCACGAGCGGCATTAACGTTAAGTGGTGCGTTTCCTGGGTCTGAGAAGCCGCTGGAAGCTTGGAATGTCACACCTTGCCAGCCCAGGCCGGCCCCCACCAGCCTGGATGTCTTGTTTTCTTAAAGGGTTTAGGGTGCGTTATTGCTTTGTCTCTTAATCCATCTCGTAAACAAAAGAACTTAGGCTTTGAATGTGGGAACATCTAGGGGCATTCAATCTAGTCTTTATTTATTTTTCCATATTTATATTTTTAAATAAATGCATCTATTGGACCTTAAACTCTTCCTGGCCAAAGACTGAGTCCTAGAGAGCAGCAGTCTGTTGCAGCGCTCTCGTAAGGAGAGGCTGTCACGCTCCAAAGCAGGAAGCTCGGTCTCTCCCGGCCCCTGTGCTGTGCTCCTGTGCCCCCGCCCACTGCCCCCAGGTAAGTGTCCGCTGAGAAAGGGCTTTTAGGGAACAGTGAACACTTCAGACTTGAGTGAATCGTGTCAGTGATGTAAAGCCAACTCCCACGGATACTGTCATCAAACTTTTATTCGCCTCCGCTTCCAGAACATGGAGTGTGAATTCTAAAGCAATACACGTGCAACCTCTCGATGCAAACGGGAGAAGCCCCACTAATGAGGCGGCGCAGCTCATCCGTCTGGTTTCAAGAAGCTCTTCAGCTTGTGTATATAAAACTCTGCTCAAAGAATATGTGCCGTCGAGCTTTGAGTCAATTAACAGAAAATCTCTTTTGTTACAAAGGTTTTTGTGGTAACAGGGCCCGAAATGAGTAGGGTTTTATGGATTCTTTCTAGGCGTTTTCTCTGACCCAAATCACGGAGAAGAGAGAGTTAAGGCGACACTGACGTGTATTAGTTTGGCTTGACGCTGGGCTTCGTGTCCTCGAGGAGGGGTCACTGCGTACATCTCATGGGTCCGAAGTGAAACAGCTGACTTAGTGTGAGAGCCATCACAGACTTTAGATGAATGGGCTTTCACTTGGACGGTTAGGTTGAAATTCAAATTAACACAAATGAAATCGACCAGGGTCTGGAAAACAAGCCTCATAAAGAATTGTGAAATACGACCGAGTGTGAGGGTGGTTTTTAAAATCTGTCTCTCGTTCTCTCCAACGCGCTGAGTCCTGCCACAGGCCACAGGCCAGCCAGTCCCCAAGGGCCAGACTCGGCGTGGGCGCCAACGAAGGCGCACGCGGGGCTCTGGGAACAGCAGGGACAGCGCGTAGAGTAGGCGGGGGCTGAAAGGGTGGAGGGAAGGCCCCCAAGTGAATGGGGCGGTGGGGGGTAGAGGGGGAGGAGAGAGGGAGGGGTGGGTGTCCAGGAGGTAAGAAAGCCCAGGTGAGCGCCAGCTCCCACAAGAGGTACCTGGGCCTGGCTGGGAGCAGCTCCCAGGACGCCTCGCACTCCCGCGCTCCCTCCCAGCCAGCCCAGTCACCACAGGGCGTTCCTAACAACTGGAATCCACGCCTTTGGCCCGCTTGCCATGAGCCTGGGGCTCCCACCCAGCGGACTGGAGCAGAGCAGGCGAAGGGGCGCAGACACCTCCCACCTGGGCCAGGGCAGGTGTGCAGTAAAGGGATGGAAATAAAGGGACAGCAGGCCCCGGCAAGATGAACGGACGTGACAAGTGACGCCGAAACGTTTATTTGATGGCCTCTGATCACCCCTCCCTCTCCCAGCTGGACAGCTGGGGCTGCGCTTAGCGTTTCAAAAGATACGGCCTGGAGACGACTCTTCGCCACAAAGCTTTGTGGCCCGGCTCTGTGCAACCCTCTGGCGGCCAGGAAGCCGCCCTCTGAACCACGGCAGCGTCAGAAGGACCCACGGCAGCCAGTGCAGGTGCCCAGGCCCTGCAGGGCCCTGTCACCGAAGCCCCCTGAGCCTGCAGGGCCCCGCACGCAGCCTCAGTCCTCCCGCCTTTCAAGCCCACCTCCCCCGCCCCGAGCTCCCCACCTCTGAAATCAGGGCCTTACTATTGAGGGCAAGAGGCTACCCCTCACCGGTCAAGCTGGATGGTGCATCACCCCGGGACCCTCAAGGTGCCGGCATGGGTGGTCCTGACCTCCCGGACGCAGGCGGGCTGATGGGCCCAGGGGCCTCAGAGGAGAGGTCAGGCCTCGCCCGCTCAACGACTACCGGCCTCGGGGAACCGCGCAGTCCCCCACCTGCCGAAACCCCTGGGGAAGCAGGAAGACTAGTCCGGCTTGACCCCGGCCGGCTGCCCCAGCCTCCCTGCGCTTCCCCTGGTTTCCAGCTGCAGTGGTGGGGAGCAATCTTTATTCCACTGACTGGCACGTCCAATTCTGAAGGAATTCACGTTTAGGAAAAGTCCCACAGTCTGCACCGTCTGGGAACGTCTGCCCTAAAGTCACCCCAAAGAAACGCGTGTGGACGGTGCTGCTGCGGCGCCTCTACCGGAAGAGCCGATACGTCCTGGGCAGGCGCCCGTCCTTATTCGCCAGTGCCGCCTGGACGTGCTCGTACGCCGGCAGATCGCTCAGGTCCCCCAGGGCGGCCACTGCGGGCTTCCTGCGGAGCATTGCAGAAGCAACTCTCTTGATGTCCTCTGGCTTCACATCGCCTGGCACGGGGAAGAGAGGCGTCAGGTGAACACCCGACCCCGCGTGGACCCCACTCCTCTCCACGCCGTGGCTGTGGTCCTGAACAGAGGGGTCCCCAACCTGCCACCGCCTCCCCACCTGCGGACGAGGGATGCTGAGGCCCCCAGAGGGTCCAAGCGCAGCCACGTGTGGACTGCACGGTGAGTTTCTTAGTAAATGAGCAAGTGTCAATTTCAATTGCATTAGGACGTGCCCATCCCAACAGGAGTTAACGTAATTAATTAAAAAAGAAAAAAACCCCTCAGCTGTGAGTTACCTACATGGCGAGTCTGCAGGGAGGGCAAAACCAAAGCCTCAGCACTGCGTGGACGAAGGGTGAGGTCAGAACGTGGGGGGCCGAGGGGCTGCACACGTGGCCCAGCCTTGGAGGAGGGAACCACACCCCTGGGAACTTATTTTCTACAGAAGACGAGGCCTCAGGGAGACCAGGTACTGTCATACTCGAGGGTCTGAGGGGCTGTGCATGGGCGGGGCAAGCGCAGTCCTCAGCAGGACTCCAAACCCAGCAGACGCCTGGGGGCCATGTCAGCTTCCCCCTGGGCGACTCGGCCCCACAGAGCAGTAGGCAGAGCCCTTCTGGGGTTGCGGACCCTTTGGGAATCTGACAAAGCTAAGATTAACCTGTCCCCCAGAGAGTCACAAGCAAGTACAGCTTGGCATCCTGAACTGGAGGCTCAGGGCCTCCTGAAGACCGCTCACAGGGGGCCACGGACTCCTGCCACGAGCCCCGGGGCAGCGCTGCTGGAGCTGGTGTCGCCACGCACAGCACGGCACCAGGCCACGCATTTTCCACCCACTTTCCCATTGAATCTGCGTTGAAACCTGTAGGGGTCGCGAGAGGCCCCTTCATTAGGGGGCCCAAAGCTGGAGTCACACAGGGAAGGCGCTCCACCGGCGCTGGCGGGGCCGGGAAGCAGACCTGGGACAGGACAAGGCTTGGGGTGCGGTCCTGCGGGGGCCACCCCGCCCTGGGCCCGGGACTCACGGATGAGTGTGCACAGCTCGTGGGGCAGCTTCCTGGAGCGGGTGGCCAGCACCTGCCTCCCCACGTCCTCGAAGATGACGGGCCTGGCCTCCAGGTTCATCATGAGCATGGACATGAGCTGCGTCTTGGCCCGCTCCAGCTCCACCTGCGGGGTCACGTGGCTCAGTCCCTGGGCTCACGCCCGTCTCCCAGCCAATTGCGAACAGCCCAGCCAGCAGAGGGGCTGACGGACATGTCCTGGCGAAGCTTACCCAGGGCTAAATAAGGGAACACGGCCCCCCGTGCCTGGGCTCGCGGCCCAAGTCACCAGCAGATCCCGCCATGTTTCCACCTCTGTGCTTTCTGGGTCACGGCTGGAACTACACTAATAGGGCCTTTACCACATTCGAAATAAGGGAGAAGCGTGTGCTTCCCTGGAGTTCTTGAGTTTACACTTTGCCATATGCAGCATGAGCAGGGAAGAACACCGAACACCCAAACTCCAGGACCCCAGAGCTGGCCACACACTGAAATCACAAGGAAAACAAACTCAACGCCGGCTCTGGGGCTCCCCGCAAATCCCGGAGCAGGGTCCTGTCAGCTATGTTCACCACGCTCCCCAGGAAATCTGCAGGAGCCAGCTCAAGCTACCAGCTCTGTATCTGGGGCCAAGTTTAAGACTGCAGCTCCAGTAAGTTCCATTCCTGAAGCCCAGCCTAGAGTGCAAGGGCAGAGACGGGGGCACTGGTGAGAGGTGCAGGCTGCCCACCGGGGAGCTCTCAGGCCTGGAGAACAGGTGCTGGAAAACACCTCAGCCGCCTAGAGTCTGTGTGTCTTTTAAGTAAAATAACTCCTGATTTAACACACGTCTTGATCACTTTTGCAAGTTCGAGGAAATAATTTTTATCTCAAGCTGCCTTCACGTTAGAGAAAAACACTTTTTCTAGCAGAATGCTAATGGAACCACCACATGTAAATTTTTAAACACGTTTTTATTTTTAAAATAACGCTTCTTTTTCTGATTAAAAAGGGAGTATGCGGTTACTGCAGAAAACATGGATCGTGCAGAAGAGAAGGCCCGAGGTGAAACACACCCACCGACCCCTAGCAGGCGCACACGCTGGGCTTCTCTGCTGCTGTGTGCATGTGTATGTGCCTGTGCATGTGCACACACGTGTTTGGGCACACCTCCACGTGTAGCGTGTATATAGAATCTGATTATTGGTGCCAGTTCTGATCCAGGAAAAAAAGCAAGACTTCTACACACGCGTGGTATGATAAAAAGTAAATGAAAAAAATGAGGGAACAAAATCTCAAAACATAAACCAGAGCCAGGAAAGAGCTAGAAAAATGCCCTGCATGACCCGCTCATTCTGCTCAACGCTGCTCCAATGTACCCTTTTACAGAAGGACACAGGGCAGGCACAAGAGGCACGGGCTCGGTCAGAGCAAGCAGACCTGGCGCTGGGGGGCTTCTCAGCATCAAGACCAGGGAGGACGGGCTCCCACGGGGCCAGGTCTGGGTCACCCCGGGGCTGTGCTGTCCTGGCTGGGATGCTGGTGGTGTGGGCACAGAGCACGGGCCCTCTGCCGGCCACCCCTACACCACGTTCTCTACCTATCGAACACTGCAAGGATGTTGGAAATGGCTCCGAGCCCTACTTACCACATCCACAGTTCCAGCCATTAAAACAAACTCTCTCGTGATGATTTCCACCATTTCTCGAACCTGTAAGAGAGCGTGGAGCAGGAGAGCATGATCTCAGCCCGGCAGCCTTCGTCCCCCAGTTCCTGCAGTGAAGGAGGCCTGGCCCTCACCTGTCTGGGGTCAGCGCTGGCGTGAATGCACAGGAGGCCTGTGTCCTCGTAGCTGTGGTGGTAGGAGGTCGCGTTGTACATCCAGTGGTGCCTGTGAGGGACGTGGGGAGAGGGACACCAGGAAGGTTTCAAGGCCCCAGAGCACATGCTCGGCTGGACCGGTGGCCCCAACGCAGCGGGTGAGGGCACCCAACCCACCTGTTGAGCACGTTGAGGTAGAGCCTGGTGAACATGCCCTTGCCAGGCCCGCCGGCCGAGAAGGAGCCGCCACCGCCCATCATCATATTCAGCACAGCGAAAGGGAGGAAGTCCCCCTCCTGCGGCAGACAGATGGCAGAGCTCAGCCTGGGCTGAGCCCGCGCAGGTGTGACACCCGCTCCAGGACTCCCTGCCTGAGCCGCCCAGGACTCACCAAGAAGGAACAGCTCTCCAGGCCAATCATGATGTGCGTGAGCTCGGGAAACGGGGTGGGGCCCAGGCTGACACTGGACATGTCCCTTTCCAGCTGGAACCAAGAAGAATGCACTCAGTGAAAGACGCATGCACTCAGTTAAAGACCACCAGGCCTCACACACTTCTCAGGTCAGGTGGTATATAAACAGGTCTACAGAAACCGTACACCAACGTCAGGAAACCCCTCGAGAGGCGCGAGCCAGCCGAGCCTCCAGCCCAGGTGGAACTCGGCTCTAACAGGAACACGCGTTAAGGTGAAGCCTGATTAAGGTGAACCTAACACCTTCAGGACAAACACAAGGTCGATCACACTGAAAAACGAAGTCAAAGAAAGCGTACGCAACCCGAGATCATGGCTTTACCGTGACGATGCCCCCAGTGTACTGAGCCACCGATCCGTCCACGTGCGCGGCCGCCCCACTGCCCCAGGCAGGGCGGGTGCCCAGCAGGTAATTCCTGGCGCATTCCACCAGCTGCTCGTGCCCCACCCCCACCCCGGCCAGCACCATGCGGTCCGGGGTGTAGTAGTTTCTCAGGTAGGAATGAAGCACCGATCGGTCGATCTTTGCTATGTTCTCCGTAGGGCAGAGACGGTGGAGGCCAACTGTGTTTTCCCTGTAAGCAGCCTTGGTAAAGGAAGCAAGAAAAACACAAGTGACAAAGAGAACACAGCCAGGCCTCCCCAGGCTAGCCGGGGCTGCAGCGACCCCCTGCCCGATGGGAAAAGCCCACCCGCTGCTTGTTTCAGCTCCCGTTTGGCAGGAGCAGCTTTGTGTTTACAAAAATAGTAAAATCTCCCTCTCCAGAAGAAAAATTCGTAAGAAACGTAAAATAACACCTCATCGCTCCACAGCCCTCGTCACCGTGAGGATCAGAAAGTTTAAAACACGCATAGCTAACAAATTCAGAAATTAAAAATGTTCTGCAAGGTGGCATCAGGCAGGTGAACGACCCCCGCCGAGCCCGGGGTCAGGGGGCGAGGCCGTGGAGGTGGCCTGCGTGTCCATTGCACCTCGTGAATCATCTCGGTGAGAAGGGGCTCCGGGTCGGGCCGCATGCCGAGGTCCTCCAGCTCAAACCGGACAGCCATACGCGTCAGCTCGATTTCTTCATCTGCAGAGAACCAGAGACGAGGCTCAGCTGGAGGCCGCCCCGACTCTGGGTCGCTGAGCGGGGCCCAGTGTCGTTCATTGGCAGGCACGGGCAGAGCCTCCTCTGCCTTCCTCTGCGGCAGAGCTGGGGGGCACTAGTACGAGCGACGGGGAGAGTGCCCTGCAGGCCGGGACCAACTGTATGAACTGGGCCTCCTCCGCTCTGCCTGGAAGCAGCCACCTGGCCCCGCTCCGAGCCGCGGCTTCCTCCCCGTACGAGGCGCTGAGGTCCAGACACAGAGGCACAGACCAATGGCGGGGGTGTGTTTCATCAGGTAACTGGAACCAGCGCCAGAAAGATCGTAATACGGAACCGTAGCCTGGGAACCCCAAGGCCAGGCTGCTGTGAAACACAGCGCAGCTAGACTGGCCTGGTCCACTCCTAGGAGGGAGCTTGAAGTCCTGCCATTTGCAAGGCTGAGGAAGGGAATGGGGACAGAGACACAGAAACTTCTGGTAGCGCGTCAGTCAGGGTGTTTAAACACCGTCTGAGATGCTTTTCTGAAATGAAAGAACCATTTCGCTACAAACGTCAAAGGACACAGAGGGAAGTGTCCAAGTATTCAGTATCAAGGACGTTTCTAACCGTGAGCGTTGTTTCCAGTGACCCCCTGCTGACTGTCACTGGTGGGTGGGCCCAAGCCTCCATAACACAGCGCCCCTCCCCGGGGCAGTGCATCAACACACCTCCCAGCACTGCCCTCCACCCCAGCACCCCTCAAGCAGCCCGAACGCACACCTGTTAGCCTGGGGTGCAGGACCACGTCTGCCAGCAAGCCAACCACCGTGTCCAGGCCTTTAGAATCTGCAGACACAGCATACATGGTGGTGTCTCTGGAAAAACCAACAAGACCAACGTCGGGGGCACTAAGGTCATGACAGGTGTATGCTGGGATGGCAGGGGAGGCGGCTACATCTTTCTGCGTCGAGGGTCAGCACACACCTGGGGCTTTTTCCCCTTTCCCATCTTACAGTGTAAACTCTTAGCAGACAAGAACCACAGCTGTGCACAGGCTACTCGCTGGAGTGGAAGACATTGTCCAGCCCTACTGGAGAGGCAGCTGGGTGGTTTTCACCAGCACAAGCCCCCTCTGAGGCTACTCGTGTCATCCTGCGCTGAGTGTCCGCTAGGCGAACTGTCCACACGGGCGCATGCCTGGCCTTAGACGGCTGGGAGACAGAGACTGATTCTAACAGTAGCTCACAGCACGAGGCACTGTGATCAGACAGGCGCACTGAGGCAGGGAAGGCGCAGAAGTGACAACCACAGAGCCACAAGGGCTGCACGGTCAGGCCAGAGCCCACGCAGAGCGGGCCCGGCTGCCACGTGGAGAGGAGGGAGCCCTGGAGGGGAGGCGTGGCCACCAGGGCCTCTGCAGGGAAGGGGCCATTCTCAGCGGGAAAGTACTGTAGGACCACGTGCGAGAGCGGCAGGAACGCGAGTCTGAGCTGAGCATTAGCTGGCTGCACTGGGGCAGAACACAGGCCTGCCTGACCAGAGAAAGGGGCTCCCCGGGGAGACGGAGGATGAGATTTTTCACAAGAACACAGCCAACCAGTCTGGCTTTCATTCATGGGCAGCCGGGAGCCACAAGTTTCTGAACAGACCTTTTTTTGAACATGTGAACATGCTGCCTCCATGTCAACTCTAATTCTTGGCATTTAACCTATGTTCTCTCTCTAATTTTTTTAGCATTCAGATCGAAATAACCAACCACTTAAAAAAAGTGTGATCTGGGACTTCCCTGGCGGTCCAGTGGTTAGGACTCTGTGCTTCCACTGCAGGGGCCCGGGTTCGATCCCTGGTCGGGGAACTAAGATCCCGCATGCCACCCGGTGTGGACCAGAAAAAAAAAAAAAAAAAAAAAGGTGATCTCCGGCTGCCCATCTCACATTGCCCAGAACAGCGGTTTCCAAAACATCTCCGCAACAGGAGAGGCCACAACAGTGAGAGGCCCGCATACTGAAAAAAAAAAAAAAAAAAAAAAAGGGGGGGGGACCAAAAAAAAAAAAAAAAAAAAAAAGTGTGATCTCTGTCTGCTCATCTCACATTGCCCAGAACAGAGCTTTCCAAAACATGCCCCACACTGGGCAGACAAACACCACCTGCCTTTGTCCACTGCACCCCTATCCCATCTGTGCCCCAGCTGCCTATTTAACCCTCCCCACCCCAAACCGACCACTGCCTCTTCCAGGCTGAGCCTCTGCACCTGCTATCCCCTGGGTCTGAGCCACGGCCACCCGTTATTCCACCTGGCAGGCGCCTTCAAGCAGCAGCCCCGAGGCTGAGTTGCCTACCGTTCCCTTCCTGACCTCCCCCACGCTCCCACCACCCTCGGCCCCTGGCTCCTGCAGCTACCACCTGTGGTGCAGCCCTCTGCCCAATCTGTGAGCATCCTGGGGACAGGCCTGCTCTGCATCCCCAGTGGCCAGCCAGCAGCCTGGCTCGAATGACAGGGGAGGCTTGGCCCTCGGAGCACAAGCCTCTGTGTAAGTGTTGCCACCCACCCAACCCTCCACCCGAGTCTCTGCCTGGACCAGGGCTCACTTCTCACCATTCACCTCCATGGCCTCGCCAATGGGAGGGGCTCAGGGGGACTCTGACCAAGGATGAGGACAGTCCACATGATAAAAGATGCGTCTGTACGTGAAAGCTGGCGTACCTTGATGTCTGGCAGTCACAAATACCCCCGTGCTTCTCCAAGGTAAGCAGAATTTCATCTTTGCTGTCAAATCGATCAGTAGACTAGGAAAAATGAATAAGAGAACCTACATAAGCCATGCAGAACAACCTCCAGAATACAGTTTTTAAGAAAAAAATTTACTTTTGTTTTCAGAACACATTAAATCAAGTCATCTTTTAACTTAAAAACCTTAATTAGTATCGACTTGGCAACTTAAACATTTATTAAAATATCCACTTTAGAAAAGCAAACCTTGACAGATTCTTCCCAAGTATAGTCTCAAAAATCACAAGTTGGACACTGACCGAAAATGCCAATTTTTCCAAAAAATGAGCAATTCCACTGAGATGTTTTGCTTCATATCTTGATCCAGAGTTAATAAGAACTGGCAATAAAAATAAAGTTGACAGGTTAAATCAGATATTCAAAACAGAAGATTTAATCAAGACAAACCTTTTAAAATTGTGAATATGACCAAACAGCCAGATTTAAACACATGAGAATGACAAGTACGTATATTACCTTGATTCTGAAGGTTTTCACAGCTATATACGTACGTCAGTATCTACAAAATTACCTACTTTATATCTCTGGTAGAAAACTTTTAGGATAACAGAAAGGTAGAAAGAAGGAAACAAAACGCACCACCAGGAGAGCCACCGTTCATACTCTGGTTACTAAATTTTCAGATTCTACGCCATGCTTTTTCACTCAGGATACAATTCAGGAACGATGCCCTAAGTACAACTAACAGTCAACTAAAGTGTGTACATATTACAACAAACAGGGCCACCCACAATGCTACCGACAGTACTTACTTCCTACTGTACAAAACTGTCCAAACTTATTTTGGGACGCCACACGAAGCCCATTCTCCAGTGTGGTGACTTTGGTTTCAAACTTTTCTTGTCCATCAACTGTAGCAAAAACAGGCTTGGGTACTCCGGGCAAGGGGGAAGAGAGGGGGACGCTGGTATAGGCACCGCCACTACTGAACTGCCTGTATGCAGGGGCTCCAAACCTGAAACACAGAAATCGGCCCAGGTACAATACAACTGAGATGATGGGACCTGTGGTGACCACCTAGGTGCAGTTATTTGTATTTTGTGTGCATTTAAAAAATTAGCATCTCCTTATCTAGAGGACTGATTTCTACACGTCCCCAGAGACAACACAGAGGAGTGACCAAGAACACCACCGAGGTGTTCCCAGGGACATGCGGCAAGTTGGTTCAGGTCTTTAGGCCTCAAATGCCGCCTCCATGAAAAGAGGGTTAAATGGGTTAAGTCTGTTTCTACACACCGAGCACTTGGCCAAGCCCTGCCCTTCAACAGCCCCCTGGAGCCTAAGCAGAATCCACATCTCTTCACTGGGTCCCGAAGGCCTCTAACTCCCCCTCCAAACTCATCTGCTAGCCACACCCCGCCCCAGGTCCGGGTCCCACTGGCCAGTTGGCCCGTTCCCTGGACACACTGGGCTTATCATCCCCTCGCTGCTGTTCTCACGGTTCCCGGCCTGACCTGCCTTCCCCTGCACTGTTCCCCGTCCCTCGTCTCAGATGTCACCTCCTCGTAAGCTGCTCCTCCTCATTCCACCTGAAGTTAGTCTCTCCTGTTTCTTACCGCCGAAGGCGGCTTACTCCCTTTAAAGCTGACACTTTGGGCCTGAGACTGCCTGGACCCAGTGCCTGGTTTCTGTCCCCAACGCACCCAGGACCTCACAGCGAGGGATCAACACCCATCTGTCGCCTGAATGAAAGCGCCAGTGCGGGAAAAGGCCAGACATCCAGAGAACAGGGGACAGAGCACAGCAGTCAAGGACATGGCTCTGGCGACCACAGAACCCAGGCTTGCCGGCTCGGCCTCACAAGGGGGCACGCGGCCGGAAGGGGCCGGGGCGGAGATGACACGTGACCTCGGACGAGCACCACCACCACCACCACCACCACCACCCCCACCGACCGCCCGGGAGGAGAGGGCGGGACAGAGGCGGATGGGGCTCGGGACCTGAGCCCGGGGCGCCATGGGGGGAAGTGCCCCCGTCGCCTCGGGGACCGGGCGGGGGTCCCGCACTCCCAGCCAGCTTGCCGGGCGCCGCCCCTCGGCGTGGGGGAGCCAAAGGCGAAGCATCCAGAAGGGCGCGGGCCGCCCCAGCCCCCAGCCGATCCCCGGCCTGCCCTCGGCTCACCTCAGCCGCGAGCGGCCCCAAGACCCCGAGCCTCGCAGCAGCCGCGTCGCCACCAGCACCACAGCCGCCATCTTGAGTCACCGCCCACCGACTCTGTCTTCACTTCCTGTTCCGCCTCCGGCGCCCCGCCCCCCCGGCGCCGGCCCAAGGCGTTCGGGCTTGCGCTTCCGCTGCGCGGAGCAGAAGCAGCGGCCAGAGGCTCGGCGCAGCGGCCGAGAGGCGGGCGACTGGGGCGGTCGACTTGGGCCGCGGCCGGGGCGGAATCGGAGTCATGGAGCCGCCGCTGCCGGGCTAGGGAGGGCTGGCGCCGCGGGGCCCGCGGCGATGGCTGGCTACGCGCGTCGCCCCGGCGTCACCCCGCTGTCCCGGGCCCGGGGCCTCGTCATTCCGGACGGTGAGCGGGCGGGGGGCGGGCGGGGGTCAGCGGCCCGGCGTCCGCGCTGAGGCCCAGGTGAGGCGGGCGCACGGTGAAGTCGCTCTTGTTATTACAGCTCCCGCGTTCTATGAGCGCCGGTCTTGTCTCCCCCAGCTAGACTGCGAGCGCCCCCAAGCCAGGGACCTGGAGTCCCACTTCGGCATTCGGCCGACGTTTATGTGCTGTGTGCCCAGTCCGGTGCTAGCTTCCGTGGGACACACAGGTGAGAGACGAGCCTCAGGGACTCCCGGTGCCGGCACTACCTGTAGGTCCCGCGCGATAGCGCAACTCACCCCCGGCCCAACGGTGACCACTAGCCCCACCGTGCGCCGGGCGCTGGGAGTAGGAAACGTAAGTGGGTAGGAGTCCCGTCCCCTGGAGCTCACAGTCTCCTCTTGGAGAACCCCCTGCCGCCCCAGCCAGACAGTTCCAGTACACCGTGGCAAATGCCGGCATAGAGGTAGGCCCAGTGGCAACACAGGAAACCACCTTGCTCTCTCAGGTGGGAGGATGAGGGAACCTTCATCCAGTAGGCCAGGCTGAGAAACCAGGTGTAGCCATCCTCTGGTCGCCGCAGCTGGGCAGAGGCCATCTTTAGTTCATCCTAATTCTCCCCAAGCGGCTACACTGCCTGCCTGGGGTCCAGGGTGTTCAGGGAGCGTTTAGGTGGTTCTGTCAGGGTCTGAGAGCCAATGACAACCCACGAGGGCATTCAGGAGGCACCATAAGACGGAGGATGTGCACCTGCCCCACGGGGCATCAGACCTCTCGGGAGCTTTTTCAGAATCACAGATGCCAGGGCCCATGGATGTCAGACCATCTCCAGGGGCAGGAGCCCGGGGGCTTGTGCTTTGAAAGTTGCCCAGGCCGTAAGAACCACTGCAATAGAGACTGCATGTCAAAAAAAGTTGTGGTCATAAAGGCCTCCCATGATCACGGTGGGGTGATGATGTCTCTTTGCAGATTTTGGCTATGGAAAGGGGAAAGGCACTACGCACGGTCCATCAGGAGCCCAGAACACACACTTTGGAGGTACAGTAGTTCAGTAACCCTTTCTTTTTCTCTCCGTCCACGTCTCCACGTGCCAGGCACGTGCCCAGCAGCAGGGCTGTCAGTCTGACAGCATATAACTAGTACACCTGGAGCCCGAAAGAGCAGGTGGGGGTGGAGCCCCACAGTCGATCTTGACCCGCGGGTGGAGGGAAAGTGGGCACGGGGGCAGGAGAACCTGGGCATGAGGGATGGCAGGGGGTGGGAAGTCACACCTGAGGGGTCTGAGGAGACGGGCCAGGGTTACAGGAGCCAACGTCATACAGGGTTGGCACCTGGGCTTGGATCCCTGGTGGGCCAAAAGAGCCGCAGGGTGGTTGGTTGGGTACCGGGAGAGTGGGAAAGAGAAGGGAAAACTGGAGAGTGAGTGGGGAAAAGGCTGGAGGCAGAGCAGTGGTTCCTGACGTGGCTGCACATCCGCTCTGCCAGCCTCCGGCGTAGGCTGCGGCCCAAGCCCTTTGCATGGGAGTGGAGGCGCGTGGCAGCCTTAGATGTCCCCAGGTGGACCCCGTGGGCAGCAAGGTGCGGGGACTGAGGGGCTGGGACGAGAAGGAGAATTTAGAATGCCCGAGTTGGTCTGTTTTATCAGCCAGCTTTCTCATTTCCCAGTGTTGCTGAGGTCCGGTGGCAGGACGAGGGCAGTGTTCCCCATCTTAGATGGGGTCGTGTTCAGGAAAGAGCAAAGAATAGGGATGCGTTCCCTTTAAGGGCCTTCAGGAGACATTTCACACTTGTGACGTCTGTTATCTCAGGTGAGAAACCTGGAGATCTTGAAGAGGCAAATCCATTTTCCTTTAAAGAGTTTCTGAAAAGCAAGAACCTTGGCCTGTCGAAAGAGAACACTGACAGCAGAATTTATTCAAAGGTAAACCTAAGGCGTTGTTTGCAGCGACCTTAGATAGAAAACCCTTCTGGAGGCCGCCTCTCTTCTGACGTGCATGCAGTGTTGCTTCCCAGGAGGCTGGCCGAGGGCTGTGGGGCAAAGCGGGGCAGCTGCTGCTCCCGGTGGAGAAGCCGTGTGGCGCTCAGAGCCGTTTAGGTCCTTTCTGCCCCCCACCTTCCCGGTAGCCAAGATGGGCCTTTCTTCTTGTTCCAACGTCAGACGTCTAGGAAGAAGGGCCTGCGACGGCTCCGGAGCCTGAGCGTCGCCTCCCTGTCTTCTTCAGGAAGCCACGAGGCACTCGCTGGGACTCGGCCGCAGCTCCCCCACCTCCCAGGCCGTGGGGTGCGGCCTGGAGTATCAGCAGCCGTTTTTCGAAGACCTGACGGGGCCTGGCGACCTCCTGGACGAGGACGAGGACGAAGGGTGGGACGGGGCCTACCTGCCGTCTGCCGTGGAGCAGACCCACTCCTCCAGGGTCGCCACCAGCACGTCGCCCTGCAGCACCTATGTCTCCTTTTTTTCCAACCCGTCGGAGCTGGCGGGGCCCGAGTCTCTGCCTCCGTGCACGCTGAGCGACCCCGACTCCCGCGTCTCCCCAGCCGGGAGCCCCAGCACGGACTTCACAGTCCACGGAGAGTCTCTGGGGGACAGGCACCTTCGGACGCTGCAGATAAGTTACGAAGCAGTAAGTGAGGGGGGCTGTGCGTCGGCACCCTGGTCACGGCTCGTGTCTAAGCAGCATTCTTGGAGGAAGCCTGGAGCCCCCGGTGTCCCTGATGGCCTGGGGGGTGGGCTCCAAGGACAAGACAGCCTGTGGTCTGTCTGACCGGCGTGAGCGTAACCACCAAAGTCCTGCGGAGGGCTGTGAGGGGGCGTGAACTGGAGCAGAGGGAGACCCTCAACGTGCTGCCCCTCAGAAAAGGGTCCACCCCAGCTGGGGGCTCAGGGACAGCTTGCCCGGTGTCCTGAGGGCATTTGAAAAATTATAGTCACCTAAGAGTTACAAGATCTGAGTAAGACTGGAGTCTGTGACTGTAGTAGGCCTTTAGAAAGCAGAAACCTTTGTTTTTGGTTTTTCTCTGTACGTGGACTGTAGAGGGACTCTTGCAATGTTTTTGTTTGTCCAGAAGTTCCAGAGCCAAACAGCAGAAGTACACGTCCCTTTGCAGTGAGACACTGAGCTTCTAATACGGATTTTCCTTTTCTACAGCTGAAAGATGAAAATTCTAAGCTCAGAAGAAAGCTAACTGAGGTTCAGAACTTCTCTGAAACTCAAACAGAAATGTACGTAAGTTTTGAGTTAGGCTTGCAATTCAGATTATCTTCTGACCCTCAAAGAAACCAGTGCGAAAACGATAACAAAGTATCGGAGTTGGACTGTGCCTGGGTTTTTATCGTTTGTTTTTTAAAATTAGTTTATTTATTTGACTTATTTATTTTTGGCCGCGTTGGGTCTTCGTTGCTGCACGCAGGCTTCTCATTGCGGTGGCTTCTCTTGTTGCCGAGCACGGGCTCTAGGCGCGCGGGCTTCAGGGCTTCAGTAGTTGTGTGAGCGTGGGTTTTATTGCGTCAAACCCTCAGCATCAGGTACGTTTCTTATGTTCTGGGTAAAAGTGTGTTTCCAGCTCTGAGTTTGTTGCCTCACGGCTGTCCCTCCCAAGGTGCATTCTGAAACCTTGGGGTCTTGTGGTTTTTATTCGATCAATCCAATTAAAACTGCTCATAGTCTGGCATTCTTAGAATTAGTCAAGGTAGTAAGTAATCACCGGGGCTGTTTCCTTAACCAGGGTGAGGACGCTTGAGCGGAAGTTCGAAGCGAAAGTGATCCAGGAGAGTGGCTGCCGCGACCTGGGGCCGGCGGCACAGCAGGTGGAGCAGAGTCTGGAGCGCGTGGCTGTGAGCAGACTGGCGCCTGGCTCGCGGTGCGGGGCGGGCAGGGCCAGCCTGGCTGGACTGTCAGGTGTCTGCTGTGTCACTCCCTACAGGGCGCCGAGTCCTGTCCCGGGGGCACATGGGTCTGGGTGGGCCCAGGCAGGCCGGCAGGGAGCAGGGCCCCTCACGGTGGGCTGCCCAGCCATGGGGTGGGCCCGCCTGGCCGGGGCCGCCAGGTGAGGGAGGCGGACGGGGAGGGGGGGGGGATGAGTCCTGTGTCCATTTTACCACATCAGTGATGCCTTTTATTTTTTTTCTTTTTTTGTGGGGGGAGTAACAGAAACGGGCAGTGAAGGCAGAAAATCACATCCTAAAACTGAAACAGGAAATCAGCTTGCTCCAGGTAACTAGAGAGAGGGGTTTAAATGGTTCACATATTCGTGAATTCCAAAAAGGGCACCAAAGAATCTCTGCTGGGGTCTCCTCCCCTCCCCCTCCTGCCCCCCCCAGCAGACGAAGCACCCAAATCAGGACAGCGTGAGCTTTCCTCCCGGGCCTCCTGGTTGTGCCCAACAAGAGTGTCGAGGGCATCACTATACAGCGGGGGGGTGGCACGTGCACACCAGACGACAGGTGAGGTACCAGGGACAGCATCAGGCCCGTGTCCTTTAGGAGGCCTGCTCCATTTTACCATCAGTGATGCCTTTTATTTTTTTTCTTTTTTTGTGGGGGGAGTAACAGAAACGGGCAGTGAAGGCAGAAAATCACATCCTAAAACTGAAACAGGAAATCAGCTTGCTCCAGGTAACTAGAGAGAGGGGTTTAAATGGTTCACATATTCGTGAATTCCAAAAAGGGCACCAAAGAATCTCTGCTGGGGTCTCCTCCCCTCCCCCTCCTGCCCCCCCCAGCAGACGAAGCACCCAAATCAGGACAGCGTGAGCTTTCCTCCCGGGCCTCCTGGTTGTGCCCAACAAGAGTGTCGAGGGCATCACTATACAGCGGGGGGGTGGCACGTGCACACCAGACGACAGGTGAGGTACCAGGGACAGCATCAGGCCCGTGTCCTTTAGGAGGCCTGCTACCCCCCAGTTAGGAAAGAGCCATCCTCTTGTCGCCTCTACCTAGGGTGCCTTGTCTGGTTTCAGTCAGATGGCCTTTTAGCTGCTCTCCTGTTTAGCCAGGAAAAAGTCCTAACGCTGCCACGCCCGCCCCCCTACCCCCCACCCCGGTCCCAGGCGCAGGTCTCTAACCTCAAGCGCGAGAACGAAGCCCTGCGGTCAGGCCAGGGTGCCAGCCTGAGAGCCGTGAGGCAGAACACCGACGTGGCCCTGCAGAACCTCCGCGTTGTCATGAACAACACACATGCCTCCATCAAGTGAGTGCAGGGGCTGGAGGCGGGTGCTTAGCCGATGTTTCAAGCTGCAGCCTTGGGGGGGTGGGGCTCAGTGATCCTGTTCACCCCGCAGTCATATGACACATCCTTGGCAAGCAGGCCCTCCACGGTCCGCGGGGGGATAACCGTTCTCACCTGGGAGGCTTGAGGGTTAACGTCAGCCAGATCTGAATCACCTACAAGACACCAAGGTTTTGAGTGAAAAAGAATAATACTTTCCCTCTCATAAAAACACATAAACTTGTAGAAGGCCCAAGACATGCAGGGCACAGTGAGGCTCCTGGGAGGGGTCTGAGCTCAGCAGCAGCGGTATCCAGTCAGAGCCGCTGGTAGGGAAGCCCATCGGGTGTCCAGACACAGCCGTGGGTAGAGAAGCCCGTCTCATTTAAGTCCAGTACAAAGGGTCTCTTGAGACTGAATCTAAGATTTAAAAACTCTGCACTTGGGCTTCCCTGGTGGTGCAGTGGTTGAGAGTCCGCCTGCCGATGCAGGGGATACGGGTTCGTGTCCCGGTCTGGGAAGATCCCACGTGCCGTGGAGCGGCTGGGCCCGTGAGCTATGGCCGCTGAGCCTGCTCGTCCGGAGCCTGTGCTCCACAATGGGAGAGGCCGCAACAGTGAGAGGC